TTGTCCATCCCTTGCATATAGAGTCACACATTCACATCACATTTTACATGATTCAAATTGAATATGTCAATCCATTATTAAACCATATTTTCATATACCAATATTTATGAGGTAAAAGTATCAATGAATACTATCAATTTCTTTTAATTTAAATTTTAGATTCTAAAGTTTCTCCCCGAAAAAAAGCGTTTTGAAAATCACAATGAGAGTATCGCGTTCTGGGAAAGTTTACTGTATAAAATAAGTAATTGAAATCAGATGTATTAAACAAATTCAGAGTTATAAACAATAATAAATCTATATTCGATAAAAGTAGTGCTAATTTGCAATGCAAAATTATGTAATATGTTTTATGTGTAGAACGTTAATGAATTAATTAGAATTCTGTACAACTAACCTAATAAATGAAAACTTATGAGTCACTTATCATTAATGCGTTACGTGCAAAGAAATAAACTGTGTTATTTGTTTACTAAATTGAAAATCCTGGATAGCATTAATACATTATAATATAAGAAAAACAAGTATAATTAATTTAAGTTTAATCTAAAGATCAGTGCACTATTTATATACCATTAACTATATGATTACTAATCTTAAGCTGTATTAGAATATATTGCGCAACCCGTGCTCAGGAATTATGAACAAATTAACATGAAATTACGGCTATTCATACAATAATGAATATAATTTTCCAATATAAATAATACTCGGTATTACCATATCGGCACGATTAATTAATTAATTTATTATTAAACCAGAAGCCCATTCGTTACATGCCTGAGTTATGATTTTGAACATTTTCATAGTTCATTGAAATTCCGCAAACGTCCGATTCATTAAAGCAATGCAGTAAATTGTATACGTATTTAATATTCTTTTCTTTTCAGTACTCAACATATTTTCTATTAGAATTGGAACGCAATCTCCACGTGAAAATCATTAGAGACTAATTTATTGAAAGGCAGCTAATAATTCGATCAATTTGAATTACGTTATTTATTTCAACGATAAATTCGCATTTGGCATTGTGCTGCATTATTATTATGGACGACCGAGAAACAGTAATTCGCTCACCTTTCTGTGTGCGTTTGATATGTTAATTTTAACAAATCGATTTTGTAAAAGGTCAAGTAAAAAAAGTGAATTCTTTGTTAAGTTTTTTTTTTGTAGATTTTATATTTGTATTGAGTATCCAAATAAAATGTTGGTCGTTTCAAATGTCAGGCAGTTACGAAAGTGAGAACTATTGTTAATTTGGAAAGATTTTATATTGGATTACTTTTTTAGTTCATTGTGAATAGATCTTATACTTTGGAAAACTGCAAAAAGAAATTTTATCAAAGACACATAAAAAAATAACAAATTTTCATACCTTTTTTTTATAATTTATCCTGTTACTAATTTAATTTATATTAATTAAGATAAGAATCGGTTTGAATTTACAAACTGAAATAATTAATAATTATATAAATCACATCAAATTTATTTAATTTTAAACAAAAAATAAACTTTTAAGTTGCATTAATACTGAATTGCAATTGATAACAAATTTGATATTTAGCTGATGTATATTAACGATTTCCGAAGTGAACACAACGTTGATTTATCCAAGTACGTGGCATACTTCGTACACCATTATTAATAAGTAATTTGACTTAGTTTTATCGAGAGCGTGTGCATGCATAGCTTATAAAAGCGAAAGTATTACGGATTGACCCTATTTTGAGAGCAGCGATTTTATAAAATTTATGGAGATAATGTCAATGAGTTTATTGTAAGAAAGGCAAGAATGTGTTTAATGCTAATGCACATGCACAAACGCTTTGGAATATTAAGATTAGCTTTCATTATTTTCCAAGATAAAGTCCGCCTATTCTTTACCCCCCTTTTCTTTTTGTTTCCTATCCATTTTTTTCTTCTTCCAGGCTTGTAAATTTTACTTTCGAAAGTAGTCAGAGTTTAGAATACAGAGCACAATTGCGCAATGCGAAGTTTGCGTAAATCGTATATTCTCTATTGTTTTTTGTTTTTCTTGATCTCTCAAAATTTACAAGTTCCTTATTATTTCATTCCATAAATTAATCTCGCTTCAGTTGTTATATAGTAAATTTGTTATTCAAATAACTTCATTGTAATAATGTTACAAATTAAAACTTAACATTTGTACATCTATATAAGTTGTTATGACTCATTTACAACTTATTTTCGAAATTATTTGTAATTTAATAATAATCGTTATTGCAACAGTTAATATAAAAACGTATTAATATAATCATAATCAAATAAAATAATAATTAACTCTTACAGAGGGTTATTGACCAGTGGTCTATCCATCTTATTGTTTCCATTTACCTTTCTTGATTTTACATGTTTCTCTATTAATTCATAACAATTGATTCAATTCAATATATTTAACAAATCGCATTATAGGCATATTTTAATATGTCTATTTTTAATGAAGTTAATTAAAATAATTATATTTTGTGACAGCAAAGTCAATTAAATATGCGAATAAATAAATCTCGATGTGGATTCGTGTCTTTCCCCTGCGATTGAGTCACTTTGTGAATTATGATATGTATAAAGTAATTATAATAGATAAATAATATACACCTCTTAATTACAGGTATTCCTCGACTTACGAACTAATTCGGTTCCAAATGGTCGTTTGTAAGTCGAATTTGTCCGTAAGTCTTACCACACTTTGTCATGGTTTTTACTATTATATATGTGAAAATACGTATTACTGACTGCATACATTTGAAAAAATTGATTAAAATAAAGAAAATACTTGCTACAAATACATTTCAATGTAGACATCACAATTATTTAATAATAACGACAAAAGAAACAAATGTTCCAAAAATATTATATTTTGTTAATGAAATTATCAATTTTTGTTTGTACAGTTAATTTGTTTTTATCACTATATATCTCCTTGTAACAAATTTGAGCTTTTAAAATTTTCTCAATTCTGAATTTTCTATTATACCTATTTATAAGCAAATACAAAATATTATAAGTATGTTATTGTAAAAGAAAATATTTTAGAGTAATATGAGAGACGGAATAAATATGGTTCTAATAAAAGTACGATTTTTTAAATTTGTAATATAAAATGTAATTATAGTATTAAAATATTAATATAACATATAAATATTATAATAAACCTATTGTAAATAGACTTTCTTTTACTTTTATTATAATTATAAAAATACGTTTTTTTTTGTACTGTTTCAATTATTTTTATTGATATTAATTAACAATACATGGGTATTCTATGTGTTTAGAACTTATTTAATTTAATTGTTTATATTTATTTATATTAAAAGCAAAGACAAATAGATCTAAGGTTAAATAAATGTCGTTGTGGGTTCGTGTCTTGACGGAACGGTTGAGTTACATTTAGAATTATGATACTTAAGTAATAGCAGAGGTAAACAATCTACACTGCTTAAGTTTATTAAATTATTTCTTCTGAAATACCAATTTTATGAGTTAGGGCCGATTGAAACTGATATAATATGTTCGGCAGAATAAATAAGGCTACTCTAATAGCTACAGTTATTGACAAATGTATTTTTTGTAATTTATAATATAAATTTCAATGATAGTACTAAAATAATAAATAAAAAATAATAATAATCATGTTTATTGCATCAGTCGTACAAAAAAAAACATATACAGAAATAAAAAGAACAAAATGAATATATATAATTTCAAATAAAGTCAACTGATACAATGGGCTATTGACTATAGGTCTTTCTGCCCCTAAAATAGTATTATTATAATAAGACTTATAATAGTTTGTTTACAGGGAAGAATTTAAGAAATTATCAGTATTTGTCATTTAATAAATAATACATTTGTTAGTAGTTACATATTTATGACGTTATAAGCATTTTAATATCTTCCATATAATTATGGATATTTATTTTTATAGGAATTCATCTCTATTGGCATCATTTTGATGTTATATTCAAGTTTTTGTTAACCCCCATATAGCTATAATCAAGTGTGACCGTGGTGATGTATTGAAGTATAAATTGGGTTCGTAGTCTATTCTCGCATTTAATTTCCCATTTACGTCGTCTAGTTCATAATTTTATAATTTATTATACATAACAAAAATAATCTTTGTGATCAATAATATACTATAAATAATTTGAATACATTTATATATTTATTTGTTACATTTTAATGGGAAATCATATTTTTCTATATAATATATTTGTGTTTGTTTTAATATTAATATTTTTTTAAGAAAATAACAACTATATAACAACTAAAAATATTATTATTAATATTATTATTTAAATTAAAATAATATTACTTAAATTGTATAATTCATATAAATAGCAATAATTAATTGTGCAGTTATTTACCTCAAGTTATTTATTTTTATATTTAATTGAATTTTTTTTGTGAAGTAGAAACAAGTTAAAATTATTGTCTTGCTCAATGATGCATGTAAAAACTATTAAAAAATTAGCTATGTAATCACAATTTCATAGATATTTATATAATATTATATAATATAAATGAAATTTATGCGAGAAAAATATGAGCGCAAAAGAAATAAAAAGAAAAACGGTTTATTTATCGAATTAAAACATACTTCGATAATTTCTCATAGGTATTTCTCTCCGAGAGCTAGATATTAGATGCTTATACTATTATAGAAATACGAAAAAAAAAGAAAATAAAAGAAGAAAAAAATAAAAGAGAGGAACGTAGAATAGATTTACGATCAAAAGCTGGTCCATCTGACATCGTCATAAATATTGTTTATGTTTAGGTCGAACAGGTAGATAAACCGGCAACACCGTCTTGTTACCATTGGTTCTAGGTACCAACTCCTCCCAGGTAAATGTTATCTGAAGAAATAGTCCTCAGTCGAGCAACGCGCGCGGTACGAGTTAAGTCACCTTTGCACGGTTATAAAAACTAAACATAAATACAGCATTATACAAACCGCGTTTTCAGTGCGCTTAATCAGTGAATTAATATAAATTAATCGCAACTGAATTAATTACGTGTTCTGTGTGTTTCTAATAATAAAGTTTTCGTAGTTTATTTAAGCGGTCAGTGTGGAGTTTCATCTTTAATTCTGTTTCTTCGTTTTTATTTAATTAATTGCGTCGAATTAAAGCGGATTAAACAATTGGAACAAGTGACAGAGGATAAACGTGTTTTGTTTTTTGAAGTAAGGAAGTCGCCGTTGTGCTGTGGAGATAAATGCGTTTATAAAATTGTGTTTTGATTGTAGGAAAGAATCGTCTGCGAGAGCGGTTTTGATCTCTCGTGTATAGAGACCGGCCATATTGCATACCAGTCGGAGTGAAACAGAAACATATGCGTTGGACGGCGCGGAGCGAGACGGCGAACATCTCCAGAGGCTGGACGAGTTCCTGGACGGGGCGAAGGGGCTCAGGAATGTTAGAGCACCGTCTCTAATACACGTGTCGCTGCCCCAAAAAGCAACAACAAAAGGAAGCAACAAAGAAGCCAAATGCACAAAATGCTATTGGATCTGAGCTCATAATGGTAGTGGATTTAATAAATTGAATTGAATATAATGTGGGGTTCATTGTCATGGCTCCTAGCCATGGGAACGCTTCTGCTCGCCGGAGCTCAAGGACCGGGCCGCAAAAGATCAACAACTGAGTTACCTTACCCGAACCAACTGTATCCATCGTCGCCGACGTATCGCGAAGTCGACACCAGGGTTAGATTAGAAATTTTGGAAGGACAACCGAAAGGTATCTCGGTGGGTCGAATACCGACTAAACAAGGATTTACATATCGATTTAATGAACCGCCGAAGGAATTCAGCCTCGATCCGATCACCGGTGAAATAAAGAGCAACGTAATTATCGATCGGGAGCTTTTGAAAAATGATCGCTTCGATTTAGTCGTTTTATCAAGTAAACCAACGTATCCCATCGAAGTGAAAATCTACGTTATCGATATCAATGATAATGCACCAGAATTTCCAGAACCGGTGATTGCGGTGGAATTTTCGGAGAGCGCTGCCCCCGGGACCAGACTCCTGCTGGACGCCGCCACCGACAGTGATGTCGGAGATAATGGAGTGTCCGACAACTACCAAATCATAGCCGGAAACAAAGAGGAAAAATTCAGGCTCGTCGTCACCGAATCCGGTGAAACATCGTATTTACACCTGGAGACTACCGGAAATTTAGACCGGGAAACACAAGGATTTTACGTGCTCAATATCTCCGCACAGGACGGCGGAGTTCCAACCAGATATGGATATTTACAAGTAAATGTGACTATTTTGGATGTAAACGATAACCCTCCAATATTCGATCACAGTGAGTACATCGTATCGCTGAACGAGAGCGTACTTCCAGGCACTCCGGTTCTCCGGGTGATGGCCACCGACAACGACCTGGGTGATAATTCAAAGATTACGTATTATTTGGATGAAACCGAGAGGCAATTTACTGTAGACCCAGAAACGGGTGTTATTTCGACTACGGAAATTCTGGACTGTCCTCAACAGAACAGTCAATCTGGAAACGGTACAAAAAGTTGTGTTTTCACAGTGTGCGTTCGTGATCACGGCACGCCAAGGCAAAAAGGAAGGACTTATGTGACAGTGAACCTGGTGGATGCGAATGATCATGACCCTCAAATTGAATTTAAGTATTTTTCCCCAACGGCGGAATTCGCTACTGTCGATGAAAACGCAGGAAACGGTACTCCAGTGGCTGCAATATCGGTGTACGACCAGGATCAAGGAGAAAATAGCGAAACCAACGTGAAAATAGTCGCAGGGAATGAACTGAACCATTTCAAGCTAGAGTATCAGAGCAACATTGTTCAGATCGTAAGGGTCAACGGAGTTCTCGACAGAGAAGAGATCGGAAAATATAACCTGACCGTCGTGGCTACAGATAAAGGCAATCCCCCTAGAACAGCCACCGCTTTCCTTATAATTCACGTGAATGATGTTAATGATCACGAACCTGTTTTTGAAAAAAGCGAGTATTCCACTGTCCTAAGTGAATTAGCTCCACCTGGAACATATGCCGCTGGCATCACGGCGACCGACGAAGACTCTGGAGTCAACTCACAAATTTATTATGCCTTTGTTTCTGGAAACGAAAATCAATGGTTTGAAATTAATTCAGAATCGGGTTTAATAACAACGAGGGCCGCGCTCGACCGAGAAATTCAAGGCACAGTCGAACTGAATATATCCGCAAGGGACGGCGGTCCAAATCCGAAATGGGCCTACACCCAGCTGAAAGTCACTATTCTGGACGAAAACGACGAAGCCCCGTATTTTTCTCAGGCGCAAATTAATGTTAGCTTATCTGAGGATAAAATGCCTCCAACGTTCGTGGCCATGTTAACGGCAGCTGATCACGATCAAGGCACAAACGGCAGCGTCACTTACTCTCTGCACCATTCCGTCGAACAGAAATACCCGAACGCCTTCTCTCTCGATTCCCTCACCGGCCAATTAACGACCAAAATGAACTTGGACAGGGAGAGAATCGCCAAGTACGAGATCCACGTGGTCGCCAAGGACCAGGGCATCCCATCGCAATCTTCAACTGCCACGGTTTACTTGAATATATTGGACATCAATGATAATAGCCCCGAGTTTTATCCGCAGAAATATATCGTGCCGGTGAATGAGGACGTTAACACCGGGGCCGTGGTAATAAATGTCACTGCCAGTGATTTGGATGAAGGTGAAAATGCGATAGTCACGTATAAATTGGAAAGTGGTGGTGAAAATTTGTTTGCTGTGGATAAGTGGAGTGGAGCTGTGAGCGTGATCGGACGATTGAGGAATTCGCCTAAGCACTTTTACCGGTTAAAAATCTCCGCCAAGGATCACGGTGGAAAACGAACCGCCGAGGATGCCGTCATTGAGATAATTAAGGAATCGCATATGGAGATGTTGCAGTTTGAAAACTATGGTGGTTACGAATTTGAAATCGTCGAGGATTACAATGGAAAGCCATCGAAACCGGGTAGGGAAGTAGGAAAAGTGCGTGTGAGAAATAGTGAATCCGTTATGTATTACATCATTTTTGGAGATCCACATAGAAAGTTTCAAATCGACGAATATTCTGGGAAAATAACGACCGCAAAAACGATAGATCGTGAGCAGAGTATATTGTATACATTGACAATAGTCGCAAGGTCCGATAGGGCATATGGTAAGACACAGGTCGTAGTAAGCATCTTGGATTTGAACGATAATGGGCCGATATTTTTACGGGAGAAAGAGGATGTGAAGTTGGCAGAGAATGCGGCCGTGGGGCAAGAGGTTTATCTAGCGAGGGCTCGGGACCTGGACGCTGGTATAAATAGTCGGGTAACGTATAATTTAAGCTATAACCCTGAAGATCAGTTTAAAATCTCCGAGGCTACCGGCGTTATATATTTAAATCGACCCATTTCAGCCGAACCCGGCACTGTTTTACATATCGAAGTAACAGCCGCGGATGGCGGAGAGCCCCAATTATCTTCCAAGCATTCCCTTACTGTTACCATAGAGGATGTTAATGATCACACGCCGATGTTCGATCATACATCGTACGAAACATCTCTGCTGGAATCCACCCCAGTCAACGATCGCTTTTTCGCCCTGTCTGCAACTGACACCGATTTAGGAATGAACGGTTTCATAACATATTCTATAACTGAAGGAAATACCGAAGCGAAATTCGGAATATTTCCAGATGGACGTCTGTACGTTCGCAGTCCACTCGATAGAGAAGACAAAGATTATTATTCTCTCACAGTAATGGCGAGCGATTTGGGAAAACCTCCTCGCTCATCAATCGTACCCGTCGTTATTCATGTGATCGACGAAAACGATAACAGCCCACAATTCACAAACACTACCTTCACCTTCAACATACCAGAAAACGAACCACCAGACAGTTTCGTTGGGAAACTAACAGCAACTGATAAAGATATAGGCAGAAACGCCGAATTGATATTTTCTTTATCCAATTCACAAGACAACTTCGTTATCGATCCCAAGAATGGTTTCATTAAAACTCGTCGTACTTTCGATCGCGAGGAACTGAAGAGCACTACCGGCAAAAACTACATCATCTTGGAGGCAACAGTGACGGATAACGGCAGCCCTCGTCTGAGAGACAAAGTTAAAGTGCATGTTTATATAACTGACATTAACGATAATCCACCAAAGTTCCTTCAGGCACCTTACAAAGTCCAAATTCGCGAAGGAGCTGCCATAGATACCCAGGTTGTTCGCCTACACACATCAGATGCTGATGAAAATCTAAACGGCGACGTGTTTTATTCTATTGAGAGCGGAAACGAGGAAGGAAAATTTGACATTGACGAAGCCACGGGCCAAATAATACTGGTCCGGTCGTTGGATCGCGAAACCAAGTCGAAGTACACATTGTACGTGATTGCACATGATGCAAGCACAGAGAACAGCTTATCCTCTAGCACCACCGTACAAATTGATGTACTCGATGAAAATGACAATGCGCCGGAATTCGCAGAAATGCAGACTAAAATCTCGGTGCTGGAAACGGCTATGGTGAATACGAAATTGATACAATTCAGAGCCAGTGACGCCGATTCGGGGATGAACAGTGAAATCACATTCTCGATAACAGCTGGCAACAGGAAGGACACGTTCCACATAAACCCAATGACCGGAAGTCTTTATTTACATAAGATGCTTGATTTCGAAGATGTGACTATGTATCAGTTGAATATAACTGCCTCCGATAAAGGAACACCCCGTTTGTCCACCTCTATACGGTTTCAAGTACAAGTTTTGGACGCCAACGATAATCCCCCAAATTTCCCCAACACCGCTATTGTAAGGCAAATCCCTGAAGGGATTCCAATAGGATCAGCCATTGTTACAGTGACTGCGGAGGATCCGGACTCTGGTATGAATGGTAAAGTCACCTACAGCATTTCGCATCAGGACCCTGAAGATAATGCCAGACATTTCGATATCCATTCGGCTACTGGAATAATCATCACTAAGAGGGAGATAGACAGAGAGAGGATCGACACCTTCCGACTAACTGTTGTGGCGACCGACCAAGCGCAACCCATCTCCAGCCGTTTGTCCGCCGATAAATTGGTTACGGTGATAGTAGAAGATAAAAATGATAACCCTCCAATATTTGTGTCGATGAACTCGGCGGTTTTGCCCACGCACCAAGGATTCGGTCGGGACGGTGCGCTGATCATGAATGTGTTCGCAAGGGATTTGGATTCCAGCACCAACGGTTTGGTCACCTACGAGTTGAGCAGCGGTAACACAGATCTCTTCAGGTTACACCGAAGCACAGGAGCTTTGACCCTCAGGAAGCCGCTAGCGAATCCAGAAGCTCGCTACCAGCTTTCGATCCGGGCGACGGACGAAGCAGTCCAGAGCGAACGCAAGTCCACGGACGCGTATATTACTATAATCTCTACGAATCAGTACGGAAAAGGACCGATATTCCAAAGCGACTCCTTCGGCGGCAGCATCTATGAGGACGAACCTTCAGGCAGCAGCATTCTTACGGTATCAGCCAAACTCGGCGCCGCGGACATCGAGTATTACGTTACGAACGTCACCGGTGGCGGGGTGCAAGTTGACAGGTTATTTGACATTGATACTAAGTTGGGTGTGTTGTCGACGACGGTGAGGTTGGACCGAGAGTTAGGCCTGGATCTCTACGAAGTCGAGGTGTACGCCATCGTAGTCGGCACTGGAACGCCGAAAACTTCAAAAACTAAGGTAAGAAACCTTTTTGCCTAATTATAATTAATAAACGTCGCCCAATTAAAATTCCGCCTTAATTAAAATGCAGCGAAAAAAGGCGGCGAGCGAAAAAATACTTATATGCAACGAGACTCGGCGTTAATTGTTTAAGCAATTCCTCGAGCCCGATTAGAATGCGACTTTAAATCTCGCTTAATTATACACCACGAAAACAACTAAATATAACATTATGAACACGCATTGCTACAACAATCCTATTATTTATTACTTTTTCCGATTCCCGATGACAAATAAACGTTATTAATTAACGATAAATTTTAATTAACATTCGGAACAGAAAAAAGTAAAATCACGATTCCAATTTACATGTTTCCTACTAGCAAACGAGTTCTCTTTATCATTAATAATTCGTGATATTTTTTCCTAGAACTTTGCGTGGGAAATTAATATATAATTGAAGCTTAATGCAACCTCTAATTTTTCGCCTCGAATAATGCGTACTAGTATTTCGTTATTTTTTTCCTTCCGTTTTTTTTTTAATAAATAATTAGCACATCAATCAAAATTACGGTTACAAACGGAGTGGATTTGTTCTAATTAGATTTAAATTGGGCGCAGGAACTGTAATTGCTCGAGCGCTTTTGGTCGAAAACGAATCGAATGAAAAAAAGAAGTAAAAGAGCGTGGCATTCGAGACTTCTGCGCGAGTCCAAGTGAGAAAGCTTCAAGAAAAAAAAAACGTACACATATATACGAAATGTGTACGTATGCAGCAATCATTACTATTGATTTATTACTAGGTGGAAATTGTCGGAGAGAGAAAAAAAATCTGATGCTAATTATATTGAGCAATTTCACGAAAAATAAAAAGTTAATAAACAAATAAATTGTCTACTAAAAGGCTTTAAATAAAGCTATTGGCATTCGGTCGTTGTGGTGCTGTCCAATAATTCATAAAACCGCGGCCGGTATGTGTCGATATTTAATATTATTTAAATTAATGTAGATTTGTACAGGCGGGGAACGGAGGTAGTAGACCTAAGCATGAAAATGCTCTACGAACGCTTTTGTTGTTCCGTCTTTGGTTGAGGTACGTAGGCATGAAATTGTTGAACAGTTCATAATTGTTAATTAGTAGATTTACGACCGGGATTACCATAAAACAATAAAAATTGTCGGATAGATTTGTACGTTTAATTCAGAATTCAGGTGGGCCGATTCGGAGTGATTTCGATTTTGTTTATTGCTGCCGGAAACCATTCAGATTCCACCACTTCCTCCTGGATATCAATTAAACATGTGTATTATATCGCATCATGAGTTTAGTACAATAAATATTATTATTTATAATTAGTTGGCGAGTTATTAAGTCATTAATCAGTATCAGGAGATTAAAAAAAACACACACAGACTCGAAATAAATCATGTTTAAATTTAAAAGTGTCCACACACACACACACACATACACTCACGTTACAAGATGGGCGCGCTTTCGATCTGCCGAGCAACGTTGGATACAGCAACCATAAGATTGCGTGCTCCAGGAAATGGATTCCATTAATTTCATCTAACTGCGGTTCTGAGGCCGTCGTGGATTCGTAGTAACATTATTATTATAGGCGTTTTTCTACGTGTCTGTCTTCTCCGTTCATGGTTCATCTTCGAAAGATTTCGGGTTTGGCAAAATGAGCCGCATAAATTAATAATTATAATTGAGATTTATCAAGATGATTTATGATCGATGTACGGTAGCTCGGGAATATTTTATGATTCTATTTTATGTACTACTCAAGAGATGCTCATTTTTATATCGTCCATCGTTCCTCCTCTTATACACAACTATGTTTTTTTTTATATTACTCATTTTGTGTCAGGTCCAAAGTTCTCTTTTTATATATTTAAGTTGTTTTATAATTCATGAATGAATCAAGGATTCAATTAATTCAAATTTGGGTACATCAAATATATGTATATTCTCAACTATTCCAAATAACACTATATACTATTTAACATATACATTTTCTGTTTCCGAAAATATTTAATTTTTTAAAATAATTTTCTTTCTTAAGTGAAACTAATCGGAAATAAATTACGTTATAATGAAGCGAATTAGCATAAATAAGAATAATTAATAAATTAATTGTTATTTTTTTTAAATAACACTAAACTGTTTACGTATTGACACATATTCAAGGCTTCTTCTCACTTAACTACATAAATTAACAATTTCTGAAATATGTATTTATTATAAATTCCATATTTCGTGTCTTTCATCGACTCCGTTTGCATTATTTATTTTATCGTTTTGGAATTCAGATTTCTGAATATAAATTAAATTGGGGCCTAAATAAATTTCAAATTTGTTCTATTCCATCATGTAATTTAAAAAATAATGTGTTTGATAACAATGATGATGTTTAAATGTAGATGTTAGGTGAATAACCTCTATTAATAATATATTAAATGGGTGTACAAGTAAAAACTAAGTATGGAATGTATTTAATTAGAGTATAGGATTCCTTAATTGAATATGTTCTACGAAATAAGTAATGGTCATATTATTGGATTCCTTTTCTACGTTTTATTGATATGCAACGGAACTAGTCCATAAAAGAGTAGCGCTTTAACGATGATGTAAAATTAAACAAATTAGAATGTTTTAAAATCAAAACGACTCTTCGGATTCCGCGAATCGACTCAATTATCAGTGGACCGAAGAATGAAGGAAACAGAAAAAAAAAACTGTTCATTTTTTTAAATATTTATACTATATTTCTCTCTCTTTCAAATTGCTTTGATATGTAGAAATGTTTGGACTCTCAACGGAATTATTCATAGGATTGAAATCTTTATCAAATGAACCGACGTCAATTAACATTTTTATATGGAATAGTTTAGAGATAACATGCAAAATGGATACAGTTGAAATGGAGATGAATAGAAATACGAGGATATCATTTAGAGTGGAATATTTGAAAAAAAAAAGAAGATTAAATATACATCTTTAACATTGCTACAAGTAATACTATATTTGTTAAATAACTTATTAAGTATTATTAAATTATATAACTACAAAGAAATGTTTTTGCTTGCATAGTAATTTACGTTGTATCTTCTTAAAGAAGTAAAATACTTGTAGACAAATTTAATATATTTGGCAAGTAGTGTATACGCAGTTAAAATGATTTGTTAGAAGTTTTTGTTTCCTGTGGCGATGAAAACGTTCAATTTTGCCATTTCCATTGCCGTCTCGGGTTTTCCTGCTTCTGCTGGGAGAACCGGTTCGTGTAGTACCATTCCTGCCGAGCTTCCTGCAGAACCGTGCCTTCAATCTTCGATATTTTCTTGGGATTGGGTCGTTTGGTTAGGATGCGTGTGATGGGAAGAGGTCCATAAATAACCTACCCAGATTCCATTGGAAACTAAAGAAGAATAAAAAAAGCAGCAGGATAAAAATGAATCGTATCGAAGTCGTGTTTCTGCTCATTTGTGTATAAACTTTAATTACGCTCATCCGTGGATATTCGGCAATCGAAGCCTTTATTTTCCGCCCTCGAACCGCCGCCTCACATATATAATTTCAATTATGTCATTACGATTGTGCGAGTGATCCTCGCGAGTTTTAATGAGAGGATTACAAGCTGGAAACTGGTCTTATAAATAATCTTACTGTATATTTTATAGTCCTGTTCTTGAGTTTGCTTGTATTATGCGTTGTTCGCACACCAAACATTTAACCGTCGCATAAAAATAAATTCTACTAACAAGCTAAACATTATTCCCTCCGCAAGGAGACGCTCATCTCTATATATAACAAAAGCGATCCGTTTTAATTGCAAATCCAGCAATGAGCGATTAGTTGCCGGTATGATTATTGCTATTCCACTTCGACCATTATTTTTTACCATCCTACCAAGTTGGTACCAATTATCCGCGACGGTACCCAGCGGCGGCAGTATTTTCGTTCCCCATCCGCGGATGCATAATAATCGGTTTTATTTTTCATGGTTCTGTACGAGGGAGAAAAATCGGTTTAAAATGCAGCCAACTAATGTCCAAACGACTGCGGCCCCCTGCCATCCCGTGAAGACATTGATGTTAATTTATCGCTTTGATTTTCAGTTCCGAACGTCGTATTTGCATATAATAAATTGCTCGCCATCAAATGAATTGCAACTTGCGCTACCCCGCATAATAACAACAACTACTACTAATAACGTGCAAACACACCCTTTTCCCCGTCGCCCGCAACAATTCCATCAAAGAATAAATTACGAGCGAAAAGATTAATCAAGTTTTAATTATCCAATCCGGAATCGAATTCATGTCAATGCGGACCCTCCCGGATTAATCCTAATCCAAAGATATTCACACTCCGGGCTAATTTACATCCTGGTTTCGTCGTCTGTCAAGATCGGTAAATCGGTTTTTGATTTAGTACAGGAGAAGTTGCATTGTCACCGAATCGTTAAAAATTTAATTGATTTTTCCTCCACTCCGTCTACCAGTTGGCATACTTGTAGATCGACCCACGCGCCTCCAGTTCGAGCATTAGCGCTGCGCCGTTTGTTAATAGTTTGCATATAAATACAATTAAATGCGTAGGACAAGTTTACTTCTATTTGGAGCGTTGCTCAATAGGCTTTCGGCACCGGAAAAAAAATATTAATATGAAGTTATTGGTGTTAGGATCGCGCAGCACAATGGGATATTTCAAGAAACGCCTTAATTGATTCGTGTTAATTTCGTGTCCGTTGGGAAATCGCTGCCATAAATATGTATTAATTGGATGAAACACGATTTTCACGTTGCCGAGGCGCGGATTAATCGCATTAGTTTTCGGTATTGTGTGTTGTTAATGTTGAATGCGTTTTTAATAGATCCCAGACGAGGTAGAAAAAACAGAAAGTAATATAATGAATGAAGACGGACGAGTTTATATGAAAAAGCATTAAAAGTTCATAAATTTTAGTTAGGAAATTGTCTTAATCATCAGCAATTCATCAATCACTTTT